GTACGTCAAAGCGAAGGAACGGGCGACTCACGGTGTAACATTTGCGAGTGAATCAGAGGAGAGAGCGCGCTGCGTTGAAGGGAAGCTGTGAGAAAGCCGTGCTTTTTCACGCAACCGTCGTTTTGGTTCTCCAGGCGAGGACAAGTGTCCGGACGAGCGAGCGGGACTTCACAACAGCTCGTTGCTACATGCCAAAAGAGCCCACCTAATCGACTCTCGCGAACAGCCAGCTCGCCAATCGGCACCTGAGCAACTTTCGAGCAGTGCGCTGGTCATGGCTCATGCCGCAGGCCAGGACGAGCGGCTTGGAGCATAGCAAAGTTGCACAGAAACCGCCTGCCTCGCGAGACCGTATGTCTGCGAGCGTTTAAGTGTAAAGATCCTGTAAACATGGACACTGGAGGAGTGGTCAGTTGCTGCAAGTACCACCCGCGCTTCGGAATCCACTCTTGTTCGGTGCCATCTTCCTTGCCAGAGCGCCTGCCCCGACCATCTCGATCCCGAGCGCGCACGAAACGGCGCCGCGCCCACTCGAGGGACACCCGTCAAAGACGGATGCCCAACGCGCTCGAGATTCCGAATGCCGGCAGGAACTGCTCCGGCAGTCTCTCCAACCGCCTCCGCCAGACAGCAGCCATGCATGTCTTGAGTGCGCACGAAACGGCATCGCGCCCACTCGAGGGGAATCCGCAAGGGACTCCCAACGCACTCAAAGGCCCGTGTGGCTGTTGCGCGGCGGCATGCCCTCTTTCCGCCTTTCCGACTTCCTCGTTCGGGTGCAGTGTGGGACGAAGCGCAAGTAGACGGACAGACGTACCTGCTTGTATGTCGTGAGAATTCTGATGCGGTTTGGCCTCGTCGAGTTGTTTGTTTTGATCGGACATTCAGCCCAGAGTAGCAGCGAGGCACAAGCTTCGGCATGAGCCGCTGCGTAGTATAGCAGGGAGTCCTTTGACGGATCTCAGTCTGTAGATTCGAGTCAGAGCGAGAAGCTTATAGTGCGGTGGCGATAAAGAGAGACAGAGAGAGAGAGAGAGTAATTCCAGCTGCAGACCGAGAGGCAGACGGAGGCCAAGCTCCGCGGACTTGCCGCCCCACGCGAAGCGGGGTTGGAAGTTTTTCTCGATGGTCACTGTGCCGCCTAGACGTTATCATACACGCGTAAAGCGTTGCCGAGGTACTTCAGGCAGCTCACAGACGTTCGGGCATACGCTTGCTTGCCGCCTCGCACTCGGAACGGGCGACTCGTCCTCCTCCTCCGCCTCGTCGATTCTCATCATCTCAACCCGCTCTCGCGACGGCCGGGCGTCGCTTACGCTTCGCGACGTGCTTGTACACAGCTACTGCGCGGTACTCCGGCGTGCGTCTACAGGTCCGCTTTCGCCGCACGATGTTGCTATATCGAGAGACAGCTACTCGTCGGGCGATTCGCCCGTGTTGCTTGCGCTTTTTCAGTGCTAGACGCCGACTATCGTCTCGAGGTCGCGTAAGAAGCTCCCGGACAAGGTCAGCGGACGAGTATCGCTGCGTCCGCGGGGATGCCGACGAGGTGGAGCTAGGTTATCGCATCCTCCCTTCCCTTCGCCCTCGCATCGACCAGTTTCCCGCCTCCTTCCTCTACACGATGCTCTCCGATACCGCGTGGCGCCGAACGCCGCCCGTGGCAGCCGCCGCGACCGACGTTGACGAGCTCGTCGTTGCGGTCCGGCGCGTCGCCAGCTCGAGCGTCAGCACGTCTACCTACAAACGTGCGCGCGGGGTTGTGACAGTAACTGACACTCGAACCATGTATGCGCAGGCTCAGAGTGTCTTTGTCTTGAGCAGCTGTCAAGAGATCGGCTGTGTCGAGCGTTCTTCCGTCTTCATGGTGGACTCGAATAAGACGAAAAAGGAACGACAAGCCTATATTGCCCCTGCCTTGACATCCGCCCTCGGCCATTGTCTCTGGCTACACCCACTCCTCCACTTCAAGCATACAGTGCTCAATCTGCTCCAGGAACTCCGCGCGATCGACCTTGAACTCGTCCTGCACGGCGATGTCGTACCACGACTGCACCGCTTTCGCCACTTCCTCCGGCGGAACAAAGTTGAGGATATACCCCTCAAGGACCGCCACATCATAATCAATCACGCAGCTGGGCAGACCGAGGTCGGCGCATTTCGTGCAAGGGGGCGCAGTCGCAGAGAGATCGATGCCGCCGGAGAAGCGAAGAGGCGCACTGCGTCCCGACGCGAGGGTCGAGATCCGCCCACGCGCCAGTGCCTCGTAGTCATCCTTGGCGTAGATGAAATGACAACTCCAGTAGAGACGTGCGTTCGGATTCGACTTTCGGAGAGCCGCCCCCTGGCGGGTGCTCTGCCCCGTGCTTGGTCGCTTGATCGGGTTTCGCGCGTACGCTGTTCGGAACGCCGAGCGATCGCTTGGCGAGATCCCGAGACGTTGAAGCCGTTCCTGCCAATGCGGTGATGCGGCCGCTTCGCGAAATAGCCGGGCCTCCGACGAGTCGGTCCCGAGAAGACCCCCACGCAGCTCGCCCTCGATTCGCGCCAACGTAGCGAGCGACACAGATGCCATCCTCGAGATCAGATCACCGATCAGTGACGGGAAAGTCGGGTGGGCGCAAGGTTCGTAGTCGGCGAGCGAGGACCCGGGCTCATCGAGCAGCCACTTTTCGAGTAGCTCGACGAGGGCGGTGCCGAGCTCCCAGAGCTCCATCGGCTTTCGGCTCGCGTACTCGTACGTCCGAAGTTGTCTGAGAGCGGCCAGCGTGCTTCCACCCGCCGCCTTTGACTTGATCAGGACGCCTCGAAGTGCCGGGATTTCGTGCATGCGGCGCAGGGTCCCCTTTTCCGTCGAGGTCCGGTCACCGGTCGCCAGTGTCTCGACGGCGAGAGCAATGCGTTCGAGGGAGTCGCAAGAACTGAGGAAGATGTCCGACGGGTAGGCGAGCGGATCGAGGGTACAGAGATGCGGGCCGAAGAAGATGCGGCAGTTGTGATTGCCGAAGAGTCGGCGCACAAATACGGACGGGCTTTCGATGCAGCGATTTGACTCGCATCCTTGTAGTACGTTGTGGTGCACGTAGATCGATCGTTCGAGCTCGGAGATGGGCCGCAGCTCGCGGCGCTTGACGAGCTGAGTGTCGTCCTTTTCGAGATGCTGCCAGAACCAGTACTTGTCGAGGTCCTCGCCCTCGCAGTAGAATGCATCTTCGTCCAGGTCGGGCAATGACGCGTCGACGTGGGAGGGGAGGAGCGCCGACTCGAACCACATCCGGTTCGTGATCTGCAGGAGGATGATGACTCGGACATCGAGGGTGCGTACGAGTCGACACGTCGCGAGGAACGCTTCGAACTGGGCTTCGTCATCAGCGCGCGAGCGTTCGCCAGCGGCTCGCGGAGCCGGGACCGAGTCGAGCCACAGCATGCGACTTGCTGCCTTTGGCATCAAGCTCTGCAGAGAGACGAGCTTCTTCGCAGTCGAGCAGAGCTTGAAGTCTGAGTGACGAGGTCGACCGCCCCAGACAGTCAGCTCGTGTGCCCTTGTGAGTACAGTCCTTCTTGCACGCTTACCGGCGGCGGTCGATGTGGGGTGCTCGATCATGGATCCTCCTGGCGGGTTCACCGGGAAGGTTAACCAGACGAGAATGTCGAGCTTGGAGATGTCGCCGGTAAAGAGATCGGTGCGCAGGCTGCCGGAAACATCGAGGAGTGGACCCCGACAGGCGTCCCTTGAACCAGTCCGGCCCCAGCTTGGGCGCGGGAAGGGGCCGTTAGGCCCGCTGACCTGGCCGACCTTCTTGCGACGATAAAGCAATTCTTCCTCGAACGCCTCCTCGTCGTGCTGCGTCCCGACACGAGGCAGCCACGCGTCGTGGGCCCGTGCGAGAACGACAAGCCTTCGAGGCGAATCGCCGCAACTCGGGTCGCTGGGCGATAGACGTTTCAGGCCGAGCGGTTGGGTGATGCTGGGGAACCGTTTTCGAATCGTAGACGGGAGCTTCTTCAGCGCCAGTCTGTGGTAGGGGGTCGGAGTCGAGGATGGCAGGGTCACGGGTGCGCAGCCTGCATTCGTTCGAATAAACTCGCTGCGAGTCCGCTCGGCCTCTGGCGCGTCGAGTGCGGTTCCGAGTTCGACCGCAGCCGCTTGCACGATCTTGATAGCTTCATTCGCTCGGACCCCGTCCTCCGAAAGACGCCCGGCGACGTATTCTAGCGGGTGAAGGAAATCTTGCTGCTCGTCGTTGACCGCCTCCGGAGTTGTTGCGTGAGCGTACGTGCCGTGGCTCGTGTTGGCATTCCATGAACTCGTCGCAAACTCTTCGTCGCGATGTAGGGCGGTGAAGTAGGCGGACAAGAGCTCACGCGCCCACCGCGACGCGGTCTCATCGCCCATGGATGACTGGGGCGTGAGCGGGATCGGGCCCTTCCCTGCGGGCAGGCAGTCTACGGAGCTGGTCAGCCACGTGGGGTAGCGTGCAGGTGCTTCCAGCCCTCGCACATGCGGTCCGGCGTTGTCTGTGGGTGTGCCAGCGGGACAGGCGGGAGGGGAGAGTGGGCTCTCTTCGTTGCGTCGTGCGCAAGACTTACCGCAAGAGGGGCTTATCCCGAGCACGCACGATGGCGTGTAGCTCCTTTAGCTATGAGGTGCAGGCGAGGCGTTGTTGTGTGGGCGAGACACCGGTAGTCATGAGCTTTCCTGGTGCTGAAGTATGAGTTGAAGAGTAGGAGCGCACCGGCTGCCCGCCAGTCACCACTCGAGAGGCGTCGTCCCCCTACCAGTCGCTCTTACTTTCGCATCTTATGCCTTCGTAATCATCGCCACGAACTCTAACGGCCTGGGTAGGAACCGCTCCGCTGACACCGTTTTTGTGTGCGATTTCGGCGCGCCTTTCCACCTGCGTGAGAAGGTCAACTGCCTAACTCACTCGCAAGTACAGCCAGCTTGGATTTAAGTAAACTCTTGACGGCAATCTTTTTTCGCATTAACATCAATTAACGGCCTCGTGGCCAAGCGGTTACGGCGTCAGTTTCCGATTAAGAGTTTCTCTTCAGGATCAGCTGGAAATCGTGGGTTCGATCCCCACCGAGGTCGTTCTTCTTTTGCTCCTTGCCCGGAAGCGCTTCTTTTTGGCACAAGGTCTATGCGCCCAACAGTCAAAAGGCAGACCCCATATCTCTACAGTTGTGGAGACCTTGCGGGAGGTCGTCGTCTATACGGCTTGACTTGATCCTCAGATAGGCAGGTGCTAGGACTCGACCTGCGGTGTTAGCCGGTCGCCTTTCACTCCGACTCCAACTTCGACTTCACCTTCTTCGCCCTTCACACAAGCAGGGCGACTCGGACTTGCCTCCGTCATATCGACGAATCGGTTTTCGGTTTTGGAGGATGAGTCTGCACCACCTACGCCGCTCGAGCCCCTTCACTCAACTCCGGCGTCTGGACTTGTAGATGTTCGTTCTACTTCTTCTTCTCCTTCTTCTCTTCTCCAGGTCACTTCCACTCTCTGATTGGAATACAAAGCTTGATTCACTGTCTCTTGTGACTGGAGATACGAGCTACAAGTCTACCTTCGCGCGAGTCGTCCGTCTCGAGGCATCCTG